ATATAGTCTTATCAAATGCAAACACATCCAGTCAATCCATTGTGGTCTTGTGGTTCAGTTCTCTACACAGTGATCAGGAGGACCCGGGTTCAATTCCCATGCCTGCCAGTCTTTTTTCGCAAACACTAATTTGCAATAAAGCTAAATATGAAAACAAATTATTCATTTGCATGACTACCCATATGGTTCAGTGGATATGTACAATGTAGGCAATGTGAGAGATCGCTGGTTCGAATCCAGTACGGGTAGTACGATTTTTGAATGCTAGTGAAAACATTGATCCTATAAGAAGGACTTAAATCCTATCATTTGTGTGAAGACACTCGTGGTACAGTGGACAAGACAGTGCGCTGGGAACTCAAAGATTGCAAGTTTGAATCACGGACAGGACACTCCTACAAGATATACGTTAAAAACATAAACAGCAACTTCTGTATATAAAGAACTCAAGTCAGAAAAACAGAACACAAGAATACTACCTCACATGGAAGCCAGTCGAAGTCGTCGAAGTACGAACACAGTTGACAGCTGCAGGTCACGTGCAACAACAGACACGAGGATCAATGCTGCTCTCCAAATGGGTCCCTTCTTTTGTATTGACCCCCTAAGGATTGCTAATCCCCCTTTCTAACTCTTCCCCCAAAAATAATATATCGCCCCTTTCATGAGCACAGAAACTGCTACATCATGAATAAATTAGCATAATTAAAAAAAAATTGCATAAAGTCTAGGTACTCCCCTTCTGGAGCCCTGCCCAAACTAGTAACCAGGGACATATACATTTTAGCTTGGGCCCGCTCACCCCTACCTGAGCACAAATCCTAACACTCCAAATAACGAAGCGACTCAGAGAGGGGTACATACATGTACAATTGAAATAGGGAAGGGGCACTAGAGGGAAAGGGTTAGGATTCGAGTAGCCCCGAGTACAGTTCTGTAGGTTGGCCTCCTTTCGCTGATCATTCGGGCCCACAGTCCTGAGAAGTCACATAGACAGGGGTTTCGACACCCAACGACAAACTTTTGGCAGAGAAGCTTTTTGCAGTTTTCATGAGTGTAATCAGTCGAAACATCTATTGCCAATCTAGCGACCATAAATACCTTTATTGTGGCCGAAAATCACATACTCTTGTACTTTAGTTCCAGGGCTTTGCAAACATCCAACGATGGACAAAATAACACTACCGGCGATTAAAGAGACGGACTGAAGTAATACCAAGAGAGCTACAGAACTGCATCTCGTTCTAGTACTAGTAGTAGAGCTAGTGATGTAATTTAGTGAGAAAATACGTTTATGAAAGCTCTGCAATTATATTACCAAACCCGAAACGATACCCTGAAAACGTTTACTAAATTCGTTACAAGAAACCTTTGCTTACCTTGATGTTGGTGATCTGGTAAACGTGGTGGCAGTTATCTGCCGATACAACGCAGATCGTGCAAAAACTCGTGCACCGATGGCCGCCATGTTGGAAATGACCTCGGCTGACACAGAACACGTGAAATCAATCTAAAGCCCGCCCTCTATGACGAATTTGTAGGAACGAAACGAACAATATTGA